AACGCATACACGCCGCTTGGTATTTGCACAAATAAAAATTTAGAGCAAAGTGTTGCACTGCGAGACGTAAATTTTGCTTATTCACTGAGCAAATACAAATAAGCACAAATGTGTTTAGTAGTGCATATTTTTTCGCTTACAATGTATGTATGTACATATTTGTAGAAATATAATAGCTTTTTTTTAACACATGCATTCATATGTCTGGTTTTTTGAAAAGGGTCACAAAAGTGTATGTATGTATGTAGAAAAAAATCTTGAAATATAAAATGAAAAATAAACAAACTGTGTGCATCAGTTGCTGCCAAGCCAAATGCATAGTCGGCTTTGTTGAATTGCTTGGCAGCTAAGGATTACCAAAACAAAGTTAAAAAGGAAGATTTAAAAAGGGGGGAAAAAATGCTTAAATACCACACAAAAAATAAGCAAGTAAGTAAATGGTTAAATAAAAGATTCTTACCAAGTTTGTTTTCTGGTTTCATTGTGGCATAAAAAATTGTACAGCTATTGTTCACCTGCTCAAAGACCTTAGCTTATTTAACGAATTTTCCTAATGCATTTGCTAGGAGTATTTGGGAGCAAGCAGCACCCACATGCGGTTGTTAGGCGAGGTAATTGATTTTTGTGCAAATACTAACCGCAAAGTTTTTATTAGAAAAATGAAAAAAAAAAATGTTTATAAATAAATATGTAGGAAGAAAATTCACAAAAGGCCTTTGGGCTATGTAAGTACATAAATACTTTTGCATTTTTAAACCGATTTTGATCATTAAAAAGAGAATTCGGGTATTCCTCTACCCGTCATGGCAACCACTATTACAACAAAACAAAGGAAACAAGAAAGCCAAAGTTTGTTTCAAGTGGAGAATTGCTGTTTCAGTAAAAGGCTATTTCTTCATCCACCACCGGCGTAATGATGAACATAGGTCTGAATTAATTTGTGGTTGTTTTTGGAGTATTGTAAGTAAGTTTTAAAGGATATTTTTTCGACTTTAAAACTTTAGTATGCAAAAGTGCAAATGAATTGCCCATCGCTAGCTATGACTTTTTCCACTTTTCTGGAAATTCACGAATTTAGCTCCAATAAAACTGCTCGCCTTTCCACTGAAATGAAGCGTAGCCCCGTAATTATGCTCGGCGTTGACCGTTACAAATGGTACTCTGATCCTGAAATGCCTTGGCTATAAGGCGGATGGGTTAGAATTTCGCGTCCGGTACCATCAAGATAAGTTTTGAACACTTTTGCGACATGTGGACGAGCATTGTCATGGTGGTAGAGCAATGACTCGCTCGCAATCGGTCACTTCAATCGCTGCATTTGTTGTGTATAGGGAGCCTCATCGATCATATGAACACTTTTCGGATGCATTTGATACAGCATTTCCTACGGGTCCTACTAAACGCAGGGCATTACCTTGCTGCGATGGATATTTGTTCTTGCTGTCGATGGTCTGGGATCGCCGTGCTTAACATACGTTTCCCGGCATTTCGGATTATCGTAGTAATCCATTTTTCCTCGCTGGTGACAGTACTATGCAAAAGCGACTTCGCTGTGTGTTTCATGAGCAGTTGTAAAACAGGGACCCACCGTTCGTTATCTCTTGGCTTGAGTTCGTGAAGCCCTCAGTTTTAAACTTTCTGGACCATACCAATGGCTTTCAATCACAATGAAATGTCTTGTTGAATCATACCCAATATTTGCGAATGTTCTTCTCGTTGATTGCCTGCCTTCGGACTCCTTACCGGTTGCGTCCAAATCACTGCTTTTGAAATGTAGGAATCAGTCATCACAGCTTGTAATTAGTGAGGCGTGCTTGCCAGAAGCCTCACACAGCCGCCGATGACTTTATGCTGCACTTTTCATCAGTTGGAAGCAAAATACCAATGATTCCCGCAATGCTGTTTTGTAGGCACAAAAGTTGACATAGTAGTAGGTTATTCTGGCTGGCTGACCGCCCCACATAGACCAATATGTCCCTAGTGATGCCGGATGGAGATAGAGGTTCAGTTAAGTATATTCGAAGTATACATCATTTGGGATGAGGCAGCTGTTCTAAGATACCGATGCGATTTTGATCTGTACCACGATAGTTAGACCAATAGTTGCATATGGGGCGGTGGCTTGAGTTTCGACTTTTTGGTCAATATCTTAGGCTCGCCCAAGTCCATCAAAGTTTAAGTGATAAAAAAATTGTTCTTAGCTTACTTCGATTCCCTACAAAAAACGTCCATCTATGTCATTAGTCTGTGTGCTGAGATCAAGCTAGGGAGAAATCCTAATACTGAGTAATAGCCAGGCGAAACTGAGTGCCTTTTCATCATTTGATCTCAAATCCTTCTTAATCCTTGAGTATATCGGAAGTCTTAACGCCCTGGCGGAGCACAACATCATCCAGCTAATATGGGCACCATATAACTAGGCCGGAGGCCGCCCTGTCTCCTATAACGTAAGCGGTACCAAGGACAACTCTGACCAAGTGTTACATCCATACAATCGCTAACTCCTGGAGATATCATAATATTTTTGGCATCTCTAGGCTCTTATTTCATCTACTTATCTTTCTATCAATGACACTGCTAGACGTCGTCATCGAGCAAATGTCAGCATAGCAGATCAGCCTCCGGTTGCTGGAGATCTTGTAGATATAGAAGTTAAACAGTGGCGGGAAAAGGACACCACCTTGTAGATCCCTTTGTTTAATGATTCTAGACTTCGAGGTTTGATATCGAAAAATAACTGACGCTGCCGACCACTCAGATAATTCGTCGTTCACTATTTTAGTGCCTGCAAGAGAGAAGATGCCTCAATGTCCTCATTCAGAGGAATGGAAAACATTCTCAAACACCTTTGACAAATACAGTGCTACCACGATAGCTTTCTCGCGGAGATGGTTATTGTTAAGGCTATGAGTTACCTGAGTGGCTTTAAGTACTTTGGTGGTAATAGGCACATTGCGGAAGCCGTACTGGGGACACATGTAGTACGGAAGAAGCAAGGCCTAAAGTGTCTACACTACTAGGAAGAAGGGATTTAACGATTTCACGACACCCGAATCTCTATACTGAAATCACTTGGGGTCTTCCCAACTAAGGTCTGTTAACTCAGTGTACACTGCAAAAACGCATCTCTAACTGCTCGGTTACGGTGGCTGCTTAAAGATTTGTTTTTCGCGCCTTAACACGAAAAGGTTATATAAAAAAAATTGTCAAAATTATGTTAAATAATCCACCGTATAATCTCTAAAGAGCTGAATGGTAATAGGAGCATAATTTTTTCTCAGTGCATTTGCAAAAAAAAAAATGCTGTGCTTCCCCTGTTGGTATATAGAGCGGTTGAATTTGTGACACTTCAAATCCTGTAATACACATTAAAGTACATACCCAATTTGCAAAATATTTCGTTATTTGTTTTTTTTTTTACCTTGTCAAATGCACATTTACATGAATGCAAAAAAAAAACACTCATTAATATTTTCATCCGTTATGAACTTATCCAAAGACAAACTCGTATGTACCCCACATAGTATGTCGTTTCGGTAAGTTCACCTGCTAACAAATTACGCGCGAAAATACGCAAATACTGTGTGTGTAGCTATCATTTTTGTGTATGTTTGTGTGCGTTCGCGTAGGTACTTAAATTATGATGATGAAAAATCCACTTCCCGAAGTGAAGAAATATTCATCTTTCCAGCATATATTTAATGTAGATTAATGTGTTATACATATATTTTGTGAGCTTTTGCTGCTACCTATTTTCCTGGATTTATTTATTTTTATGAACTTACCTATTTTCTATTTTCTACCATTGCAGGGCGGATTGCTGCAAGGTTGATGAGCCAGGAAAATATCCACATATTGGCGGACTCTCGAAATTCGGTAAGGTAAGTGTAAAAAAAAAATTATTGCGGAAATGGAGTTTAAGCTAATGTGTGCGCATTTTAAGCAAATAAATTTTGTTGAGGCAATAGTGGAAAAGTGGAATATACGGACTTTTCGGAGCGTTCCATTAAAAGCTACTACCAGGGAAATTAGAAAATCCCGTATGTTGCGTATGAGTTCTATATCTCATTTAATTTTGCGTCATTTATAATCCGCTTTTTTGTTTAAACTCTTTGAATGAAAATCGGGGGTGCCTAAAAATTTGCCATATGAAAAGTAAGAGATGAAATGCAAAATTCAATTCCGACGGTACGACAAACAAGTAATTTGATGTTACATGCCTTTAGGCGTCCATGGTCTCTATATAGAGAATTTCGGGGACAAAAATTTCACTTAGCGATTTTGAGAAATTTACTAGTGAGTGATAAAATGATCGAAAATAATAGCATCTTTCAAATTTGATCGAAAAAATAGAATGCATGGAAATCGGTAGGAAATAATTAGTTGATAGGAAAAATGAATTTGGATGATTAGGGAAAGAGTTTTTGTTTTAAAATAAAATCACCAGTTTTTTTTATTCGAATTCAAGATAATTTGTATATATGTGCACATTAGAGTAGTCCTTAGTAGTAGCCCTTCGCGCAGGAGAGAAGAAATTGGAGAAGCTTTTTGGTCCCGGCCCAAACCGACAAATGGTTGTAGTGCCAAATAAGAAGAAGAAGAAGAGTAGTCCTTAAAAATATCAATATCATGCACTGCCAGGAAAATGTAAAAATTAAAAAAAAAAGTTAGAGGTCACTACCAGGTTTTAAAAAAATCTTTTTTTTTTTACCCCAAAAATGTCTACTTTGACCAACTTCAACTCAGCTAGCTGATGAACCCATATAGTAAAATCTGCAGATCTTTTCACAGTTTTAGGTACAATTTTTTTGTATTTATGACCATATTAAGTTCAGAATATTTTGCCTGAGTGTTTTTAGCATAAGTAGAAAAAAGGTTAACAATCATATCAGAGCGAAATATATAGTTTGTTTATATGTAGTATAACGAAATTTTCCGGCGAATAATTTTCTGGAATATTTTAACCCTCGCGCGACCTCCCAAATGCCATTTTAAGGGGCTCAAAACAACCGAGAGCTAATGGGTTAAAATGTCCTACAAAATTATTCCTCATGAAATTTTACTGTATGTACCCGAACTATATATTTCTCTCCGTTGCACAATGAGATATGTAAAATTTTGCGATTTAAAAAAATTAAAATTTTTTCAAATGTATTTAAAATTTTGAAATTTTCTCCGCGAAATGTTTTTATTTTGTACGTAGAATAAAAACTTAAAAGTTGATATTTTAAAGACTACCCTAATGCTTAAAAAAATATGCAATGATTGTAAATTCAGACTCCTAGCGGCATCAATTTACATACATTTAATTTCCGGTTTCAAAAGTGCATACCTCTGGCTATTTCAAATTCATATTTTTCTGACATTTGCGTAAATATTTATGAACATACATACATACATATGCATGTATGACTTCATTCAAATTACATACATTTTTTCCCGCTGACTTTTTTCAACACTTTTTACTGCCTTCGAATATTTTACTAGCCACTTCACATTACTAATTTTTCCCCACATTCTTCTCTTTTTTTCAACGCTCTACTCGCCTCCATCTCGGAATGTAGTTGGTGGTGCATGAAATGAATCGACTGGGCATGATTGTCGATCTGTCTCACGTCTCGGTGCCGACAATGTTGGACGCATTGAGCGCTTCGAAGGCGCCTGTGATATTTTCGCACTCCTCCGCGCACGCCATATGCAACAGTTCGCGTAATGTGCCAGATCATGTGCTGCAGAAAATTGTAAGTTTTTGCCAGTTTTTTTTTGTAACTTTTTCGCCAGTTTTTTTTTTACGAATTTTTTTTTCGCCAATTTTTTGTTTGCTATTTCTGCTATTTTTACTATTTTTGCTACTTTTGCATTTTTGCCATTTAACACAAATTTTCACAAACTCGCTTTAATTTTTTTTCCTTCATATTTTTTTTTCATTTGCCATTTTATCATTTCATTTTCATGCTATTGCATTTGATTTCGTTTTGCGAGCAAACTACGAGCAATATGTTGAATAAATCTTGCACTGAAGTGCGGTGCTGTGCAGAGTGGAGTGGAGTGTTTCCCCTCAATCGAGCAAAAGCAAAACGAAAATATTTTACAGCCGCATGCTGACAAGAAAAAAAAATAATCAGGAAAAACATAGATGCCTACATTTTTATAGCGCAAAATATTGCATTCACGAAACAACTTCAGCCAAAGCGTTGCATCGCACAAACTTTACTCTCGAGTGTCCTCTTTCCCAATCAATTGGTTAGTTAGTTGGCTGCTTGCTTGCTGGCTTGCTTGCTTCGTAGCTTGCCTGTTTGGTTTGACTGTTGCACAAAGCGCAACACAAATGTACACACTCTTATGTACCTCCCGTAAGTACACATGTCCCTACCTATGAGGCGACGTTGGCGTCGCCAGTGCCGGTTTGCATCATTCAAAGTGTGCTTTAAACGTTTCGCCCATCGTTTGGCGCTGCAGCTGCTGCAGTCTCATAGGACTATTTGAAAAATTCGCAGCGCTTAAATTTTGTGAAGGACACACTTAACCATCACAGACGATGCGCACCAGCACTCCATACCTCTCGCTGCTAGCCTGCCTGCAACTCTAGCTCGTATCTCGCAAAAGGACTCTGTGTTGTGTCGTGGAATGCACGGAAGTACTCAGCAGACCATAAACATACATAAATGTACTTTCACATATTTTTACAACTATTCTATATATGTACATATGTAATATGTTGATTGTATGTGAGCCTATATAAATTTGTACTTGGTTTGTTTGGCATCGTTTCAGGCAGTCAATGGCGGCTTGGTGATGGTCGCATTTTACCCACATTTTCTTAGTTGTTCGAGTCAGGCGACACTAGAGGATGTTATTGGTATGTAAATACATACATATGTCTATGTATGCACACAAACACAAATGCACCTACATACATACTAAATACATACTGACATAGATATTGCTTGCGATATGCAGCAGTGCAATAAAATATCAAACTCAATATTATATTAATATTCAGTAAAATGGAAAATCGATGCTTCACTGCTGATATGCAACAGCAGCAGCAGCAGCAGGATGTTGGCCAGAGATCTGCCATTGCTAGATTTTTTAAGTTGTTGGTTGACTAACTCAAAAAAAGTATTAGTGGATATAAGTCGAAGTAGAACATTTACTCATATTCACTAATACTCGCTTACGTACGGCACACATTGCAAGAGTATGAACAATGAGCAAGTTCTCCGTAGGACTCAATTCCTCTAATTGAGCTAATAAATAATATTGTAATACCGAAATGACTCACAGCATCGAGAGTTACTTAAACCATGTAGGTCTTTCTAGTGTAGCTCTTTGAATTCATGCAAATAGTAATAAAGCACATGAGTGGTACCATGCAAATTTCGTCTAGTTACGGATTTTTTATAAAGGTATATCAATGTAAAATAAGTACTAACAATAGATACTTATGCTGGCATACAAATTTTAGAAAAACTTCTTATAATATAAATAATAATATAAATATTATTTGTTCAAGTTATTGACTGTTATATTTTAAAGTATCAATTATATAAATAGGCAATCATGTTTCTTTTACACCCCTTTTACGGCTAAACTATACTTCTAAGGTATAAACAATTATATATCATTTGAAAGGTATTTTGATGCTGATGTGCAGGCAATTTTTAAAATTTCAAATTAGTTTAACATAAAGCGAAAAAATCAATTCAAAAGTGACACCAATACTAATGCCGTACATGTACATGGTTGTGCGGAAAGGCATCCTAAATGTATGCTTTAATATTGAATATATATAATTACAGAAACGTGCTAAGCAGCAGTTTAGGAATAAGATGTATGTATGTATGTATGTACATGAATAGATTAGACTCAAACAATAAAGAAGGTAAAGTTGAGTGTGGAGAAGAAGAAAGGAATAAATACAGAAATTAAAATAAAAGTAAAGAAACCTAAATATAAAGACAAAGAGGAAGGAAAATTTAAATAATAACAATGGAGGGGTGAATATGTAAATGAAGAAAAGAATAGACATATTTAGATCAGGATAAAGGAAAAAATAAAGATGAAGAAGAAAATGAAGACCAAGACGAAGAAGAAGATGAAGATGAAGATGAAGATGAAGATGAAGATGAAGATGAAGATGAAGATGAAGATGAAGATGAAGATGAACATGAACATGAAGATGAAAATAAAGATGAAGATGAAGATGAAAATGAAAATGAAGATGAAGATGAACATGAAGATGAAGATGAAGATGAAGATGAAGAGGAAGATGAAGATGAAGATGAAGATGAAGATGAAGATGAAGATGAAGATGAAGATGAAGAGGAAGATGAATGTGAAGATGGACATTAACATTAAAATTAACGTTATCATTAACATTAACATGAACATGAACATGAACATGAAGGTGAAGATAAACATAAACATTAAAGCGATAGAGACAAAGATAGAGAGGATTAAAGTGATAGGGATAACAAGAAAATACAACTGAAGAATGGTCGATGTTATATTGTGGTGTGTTATGCTACATATGTTATGTTTTTTAATCTTATGTTATGGTATGTTATGTTATGCTAAGTACTAGCTAAACTCCCCTCCACTTAACCCATTCCAACTAATGTTATTTCAGCTCAACTCAACTCACATAAACTATCCCTAATTTTAGTGGTTGATGTTCAACCGCTGGGCGAACACTATTAATATTAAATTCGTGTGACTACAAAAAAAGTTCGTACCAAATCTTTCATTTTGTACCAATAGCACAATATAAAAAATGTATAAATCTGTACAAATGTACAAATCGTGTGACACTGCCTTAAGAGTTTTTTCAAAATATTTTTATTCCAACATGAGGATGATAAGTACTTTACAATGAATGATACACTGTTTTCGAAAATCCGTGATTTGACAAAATTTGCAGGTACCCCTGCAGCTAATTAAACTGGTTCGGAACTCGACCCGAACTCGCTTGCAAATTTACAGTACTTCTTCGTCTAACCTATATCGATACGTTCAACTGTCTTCTTTAACATGGCCATATCCTATGAAGTGGCAATTACCCTCCTCTGCAGAACTTTATAACCCATTCGGAACTGGTTCCATTTTCAACAGATCGGAGACATTAAGTTTTTATGAGAAAATATGTTTAAGATTCCCATTTTGGATATCTTTTTCGTTTTCTATTTTCGTTAGCAAATTGAATTTTTTTGTTATTTATTTGGTTCTCATTAAATTTTATAATTTTCTCTTAAATTTTTAAGAGGCATGCAACAATTAAAATTTATTAAATCTGAAACCTACAACTGCCTCCACCGCGATTTGAACTCGCGACCTGCTATGTTAGATTCGGTGGTCTTCGGGGCACTTTTCGTTTTGTACAAGAAGTGAGAACTTGTAATTTTTCTTCTCAGCTGTCACATTATTAATGTGATAAACTTTTGACGACAGCGCAGATATTAGCACATCGCAAGTTTCAAGTGTCTCGCTCTGCAGCCATTTTGCAGTATGTACTTCAGAGACAGTTCTGAAATTTGTAGAACAGAACTAGCGCTATGCCGACTGTCTCTAAATTATGCTGCAGGTACACTTCACATATGTACAAATGAGAGCGAAACGATGACACCTTCGATTTGAGCTTGCGCGTATTCTTTTTAATCGAACGACAAAGCAAGGAGCAAAAGTGCAATACTAAAGGAACGTCATAACTTCGAAAATGTGTGTCCAAAGTTTTTTAAAAACACAATATTATTGAGGAAGTAGCAAAAACACAACAGAATTTTTTTATTCACAAAAATTAAATTAATGTTACTATTTGACAATGAATTAAATTAATGATTAGCCGCCCTTTGCTTTTATATTTCCAAATGTTTTAATTTTTTTTATTTACATATTTACATTAAAAAAAATAACCTTTCATGGATAAAATATGATATGTTGGTGGTCGGTTCTAATACGAGTTTCATTTATTTATCTTTTACTGGGTCTTGTAAATTTAAAATTTTGGAAAAATATTTTTTCAGCAATAACCCATCGGTTCTAACAAAGTAACAAAACTCAGCGCATCAGTATTGTAATTTCTACTGCGCCTGAAATTACGCCACACAAATTAGGATATAAGTGCTAAGGAAATGTATTAAAGTATTTTTTTTTTGTAGCGGCACACTTTGAGGCGAAGTGGAAACCATAATATAATTATATATGATAAAGCCGACCACTTGTTTTCTTTTACCATTTATAATTCTACAACTTTTGTCTAAAAAGTTTTCCTGCATAGCAAATAGTTTAGTAAATAAACGGTTGTACCATATAACCCGTATATAACACATTACACTCCTTTCATCTAAAATAGGATTAACCGGTTTTATAGCAAAGTATTTTCACAAAAAATGTATTCAAATATTATTATTTCTCCAAAGTGCCATTTGGAGTTAAAATAGCGCCAAAAATGGCACGGCTTGAGTCAAGTTGGCAAGCCTGTTGATATACTACACTAAATAGTGTCATAAATTGACGGCTCTTATAAGTGCAGGAATATTTTGAGTATTTGAGTATAGAGTAATAATTTTATTAGTACTCATTGCAGATCTCTGATGCAGCTTCACAGATACGAACAAATACACATGTACACAAATCTATTGATGTGTGCACACAAATTGACATTTTCTGCAAAAGGGCAATTGGTTACAGTAGAATGCCAAAAAAACCAAAAAAAAAAACAACGACAAATAAAAATATTGCCCTCACATTAAACAACACACAGTGGGAGCGTTGCAACCGAAATGACCG